CATAAAGTGGTCTAAACGAATTGCAGCCGAGCGTTAAACAATGCCTTTAACTAATCAGCAACTAATTTGAGCTGTGCCAATTTATGGGCAAACTTTGCGGGCCGAATTAACTGTAAAATTCACACAGGTAAGCCCAATGAAAATATTAAGAAATAACAAAATGTGTGGGCAACGCTCGTAAACATCCAAAAGTCATAAAAATAATCATGGAGCAGCAGGAGCTGCAGGAGCAGCGAGAATAAGGAGCAGCAGGGCGCCCATCCTCGTTGCGATGCCAGCAAAGCCTGCATCGTGTCGGTAAACCATATTGGACGATAAAGCCGAATAAAATTAAAGCCAAGTGTGTGCTATATATTTATTTTTTTACTTTCTTGTTGTTGGTGGGCGTGGCAGCGGGAAGTTTGACGAATGTTTGCGCTCCTTGCGGGTCTTCAATGGACGTGACGCGACTTTTACTTTTACGACAAACATACATTATAATTAAGGTTCTCGTGTCTGGGCAGGGCGTGGCCACGCCGCCACGAAAGGGGCTCAAGGAAAACGCGCGCAATTAATTATAACGCCGAAAGTGTCATAAACCTGATGGGAAGCCGGCCAAGAGCCAAGAGCCAAGAGCAATGAGCAAGGAGGCAGGAGCCAGGAGCCAGGCGCTAGCCTGCCAATTTAATTGCCTCAAATCGAAGCCGAAAATCCAGCGCCGATGCTGGGTCTTAGTTGCCACCCAGTGTAAAATAAAAACAGAAGAGAGGCGAACCTCAAGGAATAACCCACTTAAATAAGGGTCAAACACATTTTCATCCATCACGCGATATTTTGCGCACGTTTCGGGTTTCTGTTTGGGCAAAAGCTTCGCTACAAATTTTCCTTATGCACTTGCTCGCGGCATCTCAACTGCGCCATTGACCGTGTCATTGAGTTTTTACTGTAGAAATTTGAAGAAAATATGTGAAATAACAAGTTTGCGCGCTGATTGATGGACTGAATGATAATCGACGTAATCTCCACTCAATGTCTGTCAGGGCATCTACTCTTCGGCTACTTATAGCCATTGATTTCCTATTGTCCTTTCCACATTCATGTTGTCTTTTATCTAACCGCAAATTGAATTTTAAGTATTCCCTTTAAAATTTGTAAATTGCTCGTGCTATTTTATTTCGAATCTTGATTGATTACACCGAGAAGTGTCCAGGCTGGCGGGGCTGCTTTTCGATTCATTTAATGGCACTTGTTATATATTTGAAACTCAATTGTTAGGGCTTAGTCTCAAGCAGCTGGCTGCATATCGAGGCCAAAGGCATGCCAACAGTCTGCTAAATGATTGCGAGTGGCCAGCAAGGTCTCAGGGGGGAACATATAAATTACGAGCACGTGCAGTACAACTATCTATATGCGTTTGGGGCACAGAGGGGCAGAGGAAGAGATAGAAGCACAACATTTTCAAGTGCCAAAAGCATGTAAAGCACTTGCCACAAGTCGAAAAATCGCCTGAGTTATTTGCTGCTGCCGCCCCTATGGAAAAGGCCATATCCATGTATATTGGCCAAGTGCAGACGCTGCTCTGTTGCCAAATGCCACAACAGAGCGTTTGGGAAAGGGCTCCAACGGCGACAACGTTGCGGTCGAAACTTGCCAAATATAGCAGATAGCTAAGCGCGTGGGTGGCCCACTACGTGTGGCCCACACAGGCACCGCTGCATATACAAAGAAGTGCCACCCGTATCTGATTAATGTACGTCCGACTATCTAGCTGCATGCCACCACATGAGCAAGTACCCAAAAATAGTTTGTCCCTTCTCATACTGCTTTACATAAGGAGGGGTATATTGGCTTTTATGTAGTGTACTCTTGCAGCTGAACTGAAATTTGTATTTGTGTTTGTCTGAGGGAAACTTGCATTCGTCTTGCCCTTGGGCAAGCCGCCAAAATTGATAAAGCTTAGCATTTGCCAGGTTTAGCTACATTATTTTGTAGCTAAGCTGAGCTCCTAAATAAATTCTCCCAGCATTTGCGTGCCTCACATATTAGAGTGACCAAATTCTGCAAAAGGAGATCAGCTATGGTCCTCCCATATCTGTGCAAGCTTTTTGCACTATGGGGAAAGAAAGCCTTGATGGCTTCGATAGATTCGAATATACTTAAAACTAGATTTGGTAGATATACTAATATTCTCCTAAAAAAGCGAATATTTCTCTTCTCTTATATTTTGGAGGGAACAAATACTAGATACTGCACATTTTACATTCTTAAGTATAGAACCCAAAGCTGAAAGCCTTTAAGTATCAGAGCTTTATTCTTAGAGCAACCTAATTCTGTAAAAGTATGTGAGATAAGTTAATCTAAGTAAATTTTATGCCCGTTTTCATTAGCATATTAATATTAATTTATAAGTCGAACAGCAAACGAGTATTACACAGTTGTCTGCACCCGTTTGGGCTTGTTTTTTGCTTGCAACTTTATGGCCAGGCGAGGAATACTTGAATTAAAGTGCGGCTGCTGTTATCAATTTAATTGTTGCGTTGTTTTTTTGCCACACTTTACGAGCGTCGCAAGTGTAATTAAAAATGTGTAGCGCATAGTCGACGGGCGCCCACAACAAAACGAATTGAGCTGTGTGTATGACTGATGGCCCATTGATTAGACGTAAAGTTAAAGCAACAACAATAACAGCTTGATTGCTTAGGTCAACATTTAAGGCGTCAACTGAACAGAGAGAAAGAGCTGAAGACAGTGAGAGCGAGTGCGGGAGAGATAGAGTGGAGGAGAGGAAGAGAGATCCGGAAGCCAGGCATGAGTAAGACTACAAAATATATATGTAAATGTGACTGGGAACAGCAGCTCATGGCCCGGGGGCCACCTACAACAACTGCTGATGCCAAAGGTAACAACAACAGCCACACAGGCAAAAGTGAAAGCGACAAAGTGGAGCTCGGAGAAGGAAACTGAAATTCGAGCGACAATGACAATGCGAATCGACGGCGGACAACGCTGTGTATCCAAAGCATTAAAAAGATTACAACAAAAATAAAAATAAAAAGCAAGCAAAATAAACGACGATTGCAATGTTTAAAAAGTGAAACAACAAACCAAACGAAACGTGATAAATGATAAAAAAATAGTCAGCAAAAGTATCTAGAAAGTCCGTTAAGCGACGAAGTTGGAACACCCTTGACTGGGTCGCCAGTTCAGAGTTTCAAATGTGGCTTACCACAGTCATAAATGAAATACCTTTGCTCACAATTTATTAGCAGAACGAACTATATTATTGGCTTTGCAAGTTATATAAATCTGCAGGTCAAACTTTGACTGCAAATTGAAACAGGTCAAGTTTTGACAGTACCTGAGGACGACAAAGTTACCTGAAATTAATATTTGTTGCAACTGGTGTGGCTTTGCGCTAGGTTGCATGTGTCACAAGAGAATATGGCTTGGCTTCGTTTTATATTTCCATGCCAAGAGTCCACTGACTAAATGACTTCACAGTAACACGTTTCACTGTCAATTTAACTTGTAGTCAAATTATTAACAGGCATTCTTTAAAAAACAGTTCATATATATTTATATAAATTCTATTTAAGCAGCTGCCTTTGTGTGATTTACATGAGATGAGAACTAACGCTCTGTTAGGGTATTAAAATGTAAAATTCATGTAAAAAGTTGGTCGACTTGCTAAGTTGGCTTTGCTTTTGGCCTAGAAAAGTGTTTTGCGTCGAGCCAACGGCGGCAGCAGAGATGCGGGCGCCTGCCGCAACTTTGGCTCTAGTTGCGGCTTGTTGCCAGTTGCCATTTGCCAGTTTTTTCCCATTTACCATTTCACAGCACTTTGGCTGGGGCTTCCCCGACCTGGCCTGTCGGGACGGTAAGCGTGGCAAGCGTGGCAATCGTGGTTTGCCCTCTGGGCGACCCCCTCAGCGCTCTGTCTGGCCAAGTTGAGTTCAAACGGAAAACTTTGGGAAAATCATTCACACAAGTCAACTTAATTAAAATGGACTTTTCCGCCTCCCAGCCGCAGCTTAGCCTTGGCTGTGCTGATTTTTTTTCATTTGTTGTCTTCCTGCTTAAGTGGCGAAAACCGTTAATTTGCTCTCCTATGCAAAAGATTAAGAAACGGAAAAAAGATGCCCAAAGACAAATAACTGACTGAGAGAAAAAGCGAAAAAATAACAAACTATAGAATGAACTTGCCGAAGGTTTCCTCAAGTTAAACTTAATGTAAAAATTATGAGACTAATGCTGAGAAATTGCTTTTTAATTTGTTTCCAGTGGGTCTCCAGAACTGGCCCAGGTTCCCGGCACAACATTTTTGCTCGGTTTTGAGTATTTAATTAATTTTGTATTTTTTTTTTTTTTGGCATGCTAAGCAAGTAGGCCAAGTGAATTACGTGAGGATATAGAGGCTGCAGAGGTGGGGCCAAAATGTGACGCGCTTTGTGTAGGAAAAGCCAGTCAGCCGGGAATTGCCTATTGCCGAGTGCCATGCAGAGCTGAGCCCTTAGCTGGCTGCACGTTCTTATCGCCTGGCTGGCAGAGTGAACTCTATTGACGTCAGTAATCCGTATATGGAAGCCAATAGATAGATATTGAGAGGACATACGCACAATCAAAGTGCAAAGGGACGAAAAGCACAAAAATCAATTAGGCTCAGGCTCAGGCATGTGGCGAAACCTGAAAAATTCTGAACTCAACAAAAATTAAATTTAACATTTTGTTGTTTTTTTTTGTAATTTTGTCACCGTTGTTTTTTTTTTATTGTGCATAAAGTACTTAGAGCTAATGATATAATTAAAGTATATTTATATTTATATGTATTATGTATTATGAATGGAGTTATATATCAACTTTCGCATTATCATCATCTACTAGCTTCTTCTTCTTCTTCTTCTTCTTCTTCTTCTTCTTCTTCTTCTTCTTCTTCAATTCTTTTTCTTTTCCTTTGCTCGGATGCCAAGTGGAGTTCCCTACACGGAGAACCCAGCACTTGTCATCTATTAGCTAAATGGATTTGGGTTAGGCAAGTGTGAGAGGAGTAGAGAAACAGACGAGATAGACAGAGATAGAGAGAGAGAGAGAGAGCGAGTGAGTGGAAGAGTTGGAAATGGTGATGTATCAAATGATGTTTGATGAGTGCGGAAAGTCGGAAACATTTTTATATACAAAAGTGTTGGACGACAGTGGCGTCCATTCATGAGGGACTGGAGCGGATGTTGGGTACGTCTTCTCGTCCAGAGTTTTGGGTCAAGTCGCACTTGCAGTGTTGAGTGTGGGCGTGTTTGTTGGAAATAGTTGAGTATTAGCGCGTCAACGACAGGACTAGTCAGCAGCTTGAACCGAGTTTGTGAGTGTCTGTTTGTCCGATTGTGGTTAGATCGAGGTGCGTGTTCTTCGAGTTCTATTCCGGGCTGCTGCTTAGTATGGGCCAGACTTGCCGGGTGGGCCGTAGTTGCTGGATGGCGACGAGATGCCACCACCTGAGATATCACTGCCAGAGAAACCGCCATCGCCTCCGCCAGTTGAGTAGCCGCCGCCAGTGTTGGTCTGGGTGAAGCCACCGCTGCCGCCAGAGATGCCACCGCCGCCGCCGCCTTCCTTCTGGGTCTTGTACTTGATGAAGTAGACTTCGGGCTTGGAGGGCTGCGTGGGTGCTGGCGTGGGAATGACAATGTCTTGCTGATCCTCGGGCTTCTTGACCAACACGTAGACCAGGGTCTTCTCTTCGTTCTGGGGCTGCAGAGGGATGACTGGAGCCTGGTACGAGGGTGGAGATGGCGCCTTAATGAAGATGATTTTGTAGTGCTTCTGGGACTGGCCAATTGGCAGGTTGGGACGCTGACGCACTTCCTCCTGCTCTGGTGGTGGCACATGCACATAGATGTGTTTCTGCACCAGGGTGGTGCCACCGCCGCCGCCGCCGCCGCCTCCGAAACCACCACCGATGCCTGTAAAATTCTCCAAGATTAACTTTGAACTTAATTTAGTTGGGAGATCGACGCACCTCCTCCGAAACCACCGCCGGATCCGCCGCCGAAGCCGCCGCCGCCGCCTCCACCGGAACCGCCGCCGAAGCCGCCTCCTAATCCACCACCGGAACCGCCGCCAAAGCCGCCACCTGAGCCGCCGCCGAATCCACCACCGAAGCCGCTGGAGCCGCCGCCAAATCCACCACCGGAGCTACCGCCAAATCCGCCACCGGAGCTGCCTCCGAATCCACCGCCACCGCCACCGCCAATGCTGCCTCCGTGAGAGCCGCCGCCGCCACCGGGACGATTGTAGTTGTAGCCAGCTTCAGGGCGCGCCGCGGCCAGGGCCAGGCAGGACATTAAGATGAAGGTTTTCATGGCGCGTTCTTCGATTTGGGTATACGTATATGGAGGTGTTTATTCACGGATTGGCACGCACACACTTGCACTGTCACAGTAATCCCGGGTCTGTGCCGTGTATTGGTGTGGGAGTGACAGATGTGGATAGATAGATGTGGGAGAGAGATACGTTGGTTAGGTTGCCTGCCGGGCTAGATGTGGCTAAGGTTCTCACGTTTTGATTTTTTCTTTAACTATTTACAGTTATCCTCGGACTCGGTTCACCGATGTTTATTAGACCAAATCAAATGCTTCACTGACGAACCAATGCAGCCGCATCATCAATTTATACAAAAAATCCAAGCAGCATAGATGCCACAGTCGCACAGCCGAAAACTCAGTCGGCCAGCGGCACACACAGACTCACACACACACACATACACACGCACGCCGAGCTTAGCGATCATGATGATGCGACTGCGCGCATGTGTGGCCCAGGCCCCTAGCTGGCCAGCGAGCTGGCCAATAATGAGCAGCTCCCCTCCCTCTCTCTCGCATCTCTCACGCTCTCGCTCTCGCTCTCGCTCTCGCTCTGGCTCTCGCTCTGTCTCTCACTCTTTCTCTCTTTCTTTGCTGTCTGTGATTTTCGTAGCCAAGTCTCTCGAAGTGTAGGACAGGCGCAAGTGAAACCGAAATTACAGCACAATCAACTTATTACAGCACAGGCAGCGGCAGAGCCACAGAGCTTTACGATTTCCCGCCTGTCGGATGTGGCGCTGAGACCTCTGCCTCAGCTGCTGCTGCTGCTGTTGCTGCATCATCATCATCATCAGCAACGGCGGCTGCCGCAGCAGCTGCTCTCACTCTCCAGGTTGAACCCAATGTCGTGCACTTTCGCTCTCGCTGGCCAAGCAACTAACAGCCAAGAGCTCCCAGCGCCCATCGGCGAGCTGGCACTTGAGCTGCGGCAGGCCGAGCGTACGGCTGCGGCTTTCCTCGGGGGCAATTCGAATTCAAAATGAAAATGAAAATGCGCTCACGATCGTCGGCGTACAAAAGTGAAATTCGTTAGAAAATGCCCTGGAAAACGCTGAACAAAGTCGCAGCCTGAATCACTTCGTTGTTTAACAATGGCAATTTGAATAATTTCGTGCGCGTGTTGTGGATTTTCCTACAATTCGAAACTGGGCTGCCATTGTGCGGCAATTTCTATATAGGTACATACATGCATATATATATGTCTATATATATATATGTTCACATACTTGTATGATAAATGAGAACATGTGCAAATGAGATTTACAATTGGAGCAAGTGTTGTGTGTTTAAATGGAACTCATTGTGATACCTAGCGCGTACTACTCGGAAATATACAGTAGACATTGACTAAAGGCCATTTAAAAAAATATAAAAATATAATTAAATTAACTTATTTTAAAAAAAGAACTAAACTATATATTTGTTTTTAATTTTCAAAATTATTTTTTAAATAAAATATATATCTCAACTTAAGGCTGTCATTTGATCATTTTTAAGTTTTGTTTTTCAAGTTGTCAACAAGATTTTTTTATGCTCTTCATAAAAGTTTTGTTTTACAAATGCTAAAAGATAAAATTTGTCAGTTCTTTTATATATATTTACTTTTATTTATAGCGAATAAAATGAAATATTTTCTTAGTATTCCATTTACTTTTACCCAATAGCTACTGTACCTACATATGCTTGAGCTATAAATCCTATCATCAAACTTGCATAATATATAAGCGTAATCCCTTCCAGCCAGTATTTACTGTAGCATGCCTCAAACTGTTTTAAAGATGCGCAACGCGTCTTACAGATTTTGCAGCCCAGATAGCGAGAGTTCAAGCTCAGTTTCATCAAGAGGCACTTGTGAAATGCAGCTAAAGGGCCTGTTCACAGATTAATCGATAAGTATTTAGTTAAGGGCATTCCCTCATCATAAAAACTTCATATTCTCATCGTTTGATGCGTTTTACAACTTTAGTTTACGCTTTACATGCTTTTATGATCTGTCGAAGCTCACGCTTACGCATCGGAAATTAGCTCATTGCGTAATTTTGTCATAAAAAAAGAAAAAAAAAAAGTAAGTTAAATAAAGCAACAAAAAACATTTCGCAAATTGTCGCCTCTGCGAGCGAATTCACGTAAAATGCATTTTTATTGTGATTGTTGATTGCTTTGCTCCAGCTCCAGCTCCACCTCCACCTCCACTTCCAGCTGCTCCAGCACCATCTTCTCCCGTTGTTAACGATATTAAATCTGTGTTTTTACTTGATTTTTGCGCTTTGCTGTTTGTTGTTTTTACATTTCGCTTTTGTTAATTGCGCTGGGCACTTAGCCGCATAATGAAATGGTTCAATCGATGGTTCGTTCATCGAACTGCGCCGCAGCAAAGGAAATTGTGCAAAGTGACCAAAACGCTCTTTTTTTCAATTTGTCGGCAATTTGGCTGCTCAACGAATTCAATTGTTACTTTTTATCAAAGCGATTCGCTGCGATTTTTAATTTTATTAAATGTTGCTCAATGTAACTCGATTTATATTGTAGCTTGTGGCTTTTCGCAAAAGGTTAACAACAGCTCGTTGAAAATAAATATTAATTGAATATGAGAGCTAACTAAAAATATCACAACAGAACATTTGTTGTGGATAAACCTACTTTACAAATATCATTCCGTTCTAGATAGTTGTTCGTTCAATATTTAAGTGGCAGTTTGCTTCACAAATCAGTTTGAGATTCTTCTTTTTTTTGTCAAATATTTATTATATTTTTCATATAATATTTTATAAAGTTACACAAGTTTAAGTGGGAGTAAAATAAAAAATATATTTTTTGTATTCATAAAGTGGATTTTAACGAATAGAAAATTTGATAACATTAATGTTTAAACATAATTTTGATTGCCAAATCTGGAAGAGCAATTTTCACAGTCATCCCAATCATGACCATTATTGCTTGTTAAGCAATGACTCCGTCAGCCCCAGCCCCAGCCCCAACTCAAACAGTTATTTTTGTGGATGTAATGGTGTTTTTACAAAAGCTTGTGGATTTCCCCCACTCGACAATTTTGCTCCTTTATGTAGCTATTGAACATAAAATGGGTTGCAGCATTAAAGATAAGTTTGACGAACAGAATCAATATTGATATTGATAACAAACTTCAATAAGATGAAATTGCTGCATTTGTAAGTATGTACACAATGAGATGTCAGACTAAAATTAACAAAAAGTAACTATCAGTTATTCAACTTTTCGTCAAGATGTGTTACTAAAGCAAAGATGTGCAATACTAAAAAAAAAATTAATGCTTAAAGAGTGATCCGCTTGCCCATCTAAAGTTCAATTTAAAATATCAAGGCATCAAAGTCAAGATATATAGGGGTAGGTTTATATATATATATATATATATATGTATAAATATATATATATATATAATATAATATAATATAAATTGAAAAAGCTTTTTACAAAACTTCAGCAAGTTGCTTTGCCAAGTGTTAATATGAAATCAATTGTAAGCGCATTAGCGGCATTCCCTGAGCCTTAACTATAGTTCAATAAAAAGTATTATGTAAGCAGTTAGTTATACGCCAGGTAAATGTTAATTATATGCCTGAAATCTATATTAGATATTGCCATACAAATTCAAGTATAACTTGATTGGAAAACACAATTGTTGCCAGAGTCAAGTTTTGTCCATGTTTTGATAGTTTTTATATTATTTATTCATATTTAAAGTCGAGTCGTGACTACACAAATCGCTTTGGGCGTTTGTTTTAATTAATGGGTTAACAGTAAGTGTTTAGTGTATGATAGAGCGGCAGTTAGAGTTATATGTGCTATGATGATAAAAACTAAATGCGTTTGCCATAAACTGTCAATGAAATTTCAATAGTTGTTAACGTGGCAGCTGCATTTCCGGCCTTTTAGCAAAGCCCCCGGCGATTTCACCTTGAAATGCGCTTGCATAACCAGACTCCATGTCCAGTCAGTAGCGAGCTGCTCCTCCTGGCCGAAACCTATGCAAAAAGAAATGCAAACAAACATTTGCTAACGAACATCGAACATTGAGCGAGTTATCGACTTTTTGTCTTTTTTCTTCGTCTTTAAGTGCTTTTGTTGTACGACAATAAATTGTGTTCACATGTGGGAAATGCTGAATTGAATTGAATTTGAATGCCCAACTGCCTGGGAGTAGAGTAGACCAAGTGCAGCCTTGCAGCCATGCAGGCCACCGGGAGATGCAATCGCCGAGGCAACCAGCGACACCTCCAAATGAGCCGCAGTAGCATTCCGATTCAGATTGCGATCGCGATTGCAATTGCGATTTGTGGGGCCATCGAATTTACATTTGCAATTTGCATTCAAGTTCACAGACAACGGCCTAAAATTGCTTGCATTTTTCATGAGCCTAAACGGTTCACGTTCAACTTCCGACCAGACTAAAGCTGGCCGCACTTGAATTTGCTAATAGATGAAACTGATAGTTGCTTGAAGTACAAGAAGAAGTATGGAATAGTTACGGAGGGAATTTTAATTGCTGAAATTTAGTCGAAGGTATATTAAATAAGTGTTGAAGTTTATAACTTTCTAAAGAGCAATTCCTTAGGTCTTTTTTTAAGAAAAAACTTTCTTTAATCTTTTCTTGAGTTATTGTAATTTGGGAATACTTGAAGCATTGTAAGCCAGGTCCTGGGAGTATATAGTTTTCTAGCGTTTGCAATTCACTCCATCAGTTCAACATGTCTGTTAGTTTCATATTTACAATATCTTAATACCCTGAACTCTTTAATAATGAAGCTTGCAGCTAAATGATTTAGTGCATTTGTATGTAACAGTATCCATAAAGTATACATATTTGGAAGGACGATGAGCTGAGTCAATCGCGTCATGCCTCTGTGCGTCCGTCCGTCCGTTCGTTCGTTCGAGCGTCCGTCTGTGCGGCCATGCGTCTGGCTGCCTGTCCGTCCATCCGCATTAGCGCAGCAATTTCATTAGCTACAAAAGCAACAGGCTTGGAATTTTAAATGCATATTCTTGTACACACTACGCAGTAAGAGCTTATCACTTTTTCACTAGATAAATCATCTCATCTTATCTTATCAATAATTTGTCTAAGCTTAGCTTGAAATCCACAAATGCTAGGGACTATACTATTTACTACGTACTATTTACTATATAGATATATGTGCATACTTCGAACATTTCATATTGAGGGCATTCCTTTTTCATTTAGTAAATACTTCTGCTTAGGCTTATGCATACATCTATAAGTCAATTTAACGCTCAGCTATTTCCATTAAAAAAGTGCATCTCGAACAAGTTGA